GTACAATAAACTTTTAAATGGCACCAAAACCTCTGGGTACTTACCCAAAACGTCACTAAGCTCCAGGCCACTCATGCATAATAGGCATCAGCTCCATTAAACTTAATTGTAACCATATTGTTTCTGCTTAAAGTAAGTGAAAGAGAATGAATTCCACAAACTAATACTCAGAAGGCCTAGGATGGCTTTTTACTGAAAGACCATGTCTAGCTCTGGGTTCCAAGGCCAAGAGACAAAGAGAATTTGGATAGAGTTCATTAAGGCTCTTACAGAGACTAGGAGTATTCAATTTAGAAACGAAAATAATAAAGAATTATTTTTTGTATTTGAAGAGGTGGGTAAATAAACTTTTATGGAGGAGAGTAAATAAGGAATTATTTTAGAATAAAGTGAGGATATTGCCCAAGTTTGATAAAACTATTTTCTAACATCTAAAATTAATGGATCTGGAATTGAAAAGTAGGGGTAATTACGGATTCTTCTTTGAGATATACAAAGTGGAGCAAGTCTCATGCACTTGGGTTGATTTTTGTATTTCACAAAGATGTGTGGTTAGATTAGGTACTTTTTAAAGTTCTTTCCAATTCTAGATTTCTAAGACTGTTAACCAAATATAGTCTTCTCGTAAATCTACTTAAGGACAAATAATGTTTAAGTAAATCTAGAAATTTGATGAAGTAAATTGCAGAAGTTGGCATCTATAGTTTGCATCCTTATTTCTATATATAGAGAATTGCATCTATATTTCTAAATAGAGAGGATTTGTATGTATTCATCTAAATAAAAATACAGAAACCAAACCAGTTAACTCCAGACAATATAAGAGTTAAAGGGAACAGCACCCAATATAAGAATAGACAAGGAAGCTCTGCAGTGTAACCTCAGAGAGCTCATCATAAATAGGCCCTTTATCAGAAGATGAATTGAAAATACAGAAAAATAAGCAGTTTTCTACAAGGTTACTCATACCGTTAGCCCCAGAAAATATTTGAAAAAGTTGAAATTTTTCTTTGGTGCTTTTCTACCTTTACAGGTCAGGCTTCAAGTCTCTTTTTACTTTACAGTCATTCCTAGAAGCAAACATCTAGTTTCTGCTCTCTCCACCATAAAGACACACCCTTTGCTATTAAATTTTTTTCGGGCATGATGACTTCAATTCAAAATTTTTAGTTCTGCTTCCCATTGTTTTGAGTTAAGTTATGGTTGTTAACCTATGCCAAGGGCGATGTATCCTAAACAGGTTGTGTATCTGTTTCCATAGTGCTTCTGCTGCTGAGAATTCTGGGCCATTGGATAGAAAAGGACTGAGGGCACATTTTGCTGCCCCTGAAATCCTACCAGTTGAATGCCTATCTCATCTATGTGTTTAGACTTGCATAGATCAACTAGCAAACAAACAGTCTGGATGTACAAGTTAACATATCTTTCTATTCTATTCCCCTCTATCAAATATAAACAATGCATATATTTTTCTTTTTTTTTTAAGATTTTATTTATTTATTTGAGAGAGAGAGAGATCACAAGTAGGCAGAGCAACAGGCAGAGAGAGAGGGGGAAGCAGGGTCTCAGGGCCCTGAGATCATGACCTGAGCCAAAGGCAGAGGCTTAACCCACTGAGCCACCCAGGTGCCCCTGCATATGTTTTTCTGAATCTAAGAGCAGACCAGTCTTTCACATACTTCTATAACTGACTATTTCTGCAAACTCCAGGAAAGGTTTTTTTTAAAAAAAATAGAAGATATGTTTAATTCATTTAACAGTGATTATAAGATACGTATCTCTTTAAATGAATCAGAAGGGTTTGTTAATTATGTCTCTATATGATATAATGGAAAATTTAATTTTCTTTGCTACATTAATTGGAAATAAAGATTTTCAGGGATTTGAATTTTAAACAGCATTAATGACAGGTGCTTCTAAGAACACTCAGTTATTTTGTGGGGAATTTTAGTAAAATTGAAGAGATTTATTTAATTTACTAGCATTTAGAGCTGTACACAATTGTTATTTGTTAAAGAACATATTGCTTTTAGGGCTAGAATAAATAATTGCTTAAAAAAGGTCATTTAACACTTGAGTTTTTGTTACTGTTATTTTTGTTTGTTTAGTAGAGAATGTTCAGGTAATATTTGGAACAAAGAATTTTGGGGTCAGTCAGAAGTATTAAATACAAGTGAGGTTATGAAAAAACTTGTTCTTATGTTAACATTTAAATATTACATGCAAAGGTTGTCTTCCAGAACACATCAGCCAATGACACCTAACATTTGTTTCACTTTACAGTTTTCAAGGGTTATTCACATTAATTCTTTAAACCATTTTAGCAACCCTGTGAAGTAGAAATGATGGACATTATCTCCAAATTATAGATGAGAAAATAAAGCTTGGAGATGTTGTCCTTTACCCAACTAAGACCACATGGATTGTGAAGATTAGTATCTAGGTTTGGTTTGGTTCACTGTGGGGTTTGGTTACTGTTTGGTTTGTTTGTTTGGTTCTTTCATTTATTTCTCCAATAATCGTGGTTCTAGATCATTTTTACTTGGGAAGCTATGGAAGTGTTCAATTTTTTTTTTTTTCCTGCAAGAACCTACCATTAGTCCAGAAATCCCTGTTTGTTATACACATTGCTATACATAGGCAAGGGCTAATCAGTCCCTTCTAAACTATTCTGGTTTCCAAAAAGAGGATGAAGATGAAGGGAGATGACATTACTAAAATGACACAATTCTCTGTGAGATGCTATTTGCACCTAAGTTCTCTCCACTGGTGTTTTTTTTTTTTTTTTAAGATTTTATTTATTTATTCGACAGAGATCACAAGTAGGCAGAGAGGCAGGCAAAGAAAGAGAGGAGGAAGCAGGCTCCCCACCAAGGAGAGAGCCCGATGCGGGGCCCGACCCCAGGACCCCGGGACCATGACCCGAGCCGAAGGCAGAGGCTTTAACCCTCTGAGCCACCCAGGTGCCCCTCTCCACTGGTGTTTTAAAAGAGAAGTATGGAGTCAATAAGGGAAATAGAACAATGCCATCTAGTGATTAGGAGTTCTGGTAAGAAAAAGATTTCTAGAGAAAATCTAAATTTGATTTGCAGGGATACCTAAGTATAATTCCTAATATACTAAATTTAGTGATCTTGACAGAAGATTTATTTAAGGTTTGGATTTGCTATAAGCATGTCAATGGGGCCTGAAAGTCTAGTCCCATTTACAGAGAATTTACTATGTAATGCAAACTGAAATTTGCAGGGCCAGCATCATGCAGTAGAAAATGCACAGGGTTTAGAGTCAGAATTATCTGAGTTTGTCTGTATAATCTGTCATTTATAGTGGAGTAACTTTCACCAAAATTACGTGACCACTCTAATACTTATTTTTCTCATCTATAAGCACATAGTTGGCTTTCAAAAAATATTAGTTACTAATTTGAGGGCTTGAATGAGAGCCACAAGGGTCATTTACATAGCTTCTCCATATTCAAACAGTAGTAGTATCTGTAGCAGGACGCTTAGAAATCAGTTGGGCAACACCTTTTAAGGCTGACCTACAGGGAAGTAAGTTCTAGGACATTGTGGAAAAGTTGCATGCCGTGAGCAAGGACAGTGATGGAAAATTGCCATAAAATCACTTCCAATCTAAGAAGATTTTATTTTATTTTTCTATTATTTATTTATTTACTTATTTATCTATTTATTTATTTATTTTTAAGAGAAGGAGGCAGAGAGGGGCAGAGGGAGAAGAAGAGAGAGTATTAAGCAGGCTCCACACCTAGTATGGATTCTGGCACAGGGCTCCATCTCATTACCCTAAGATCATGACCTGAGCCAAAATCAAGAGTTGGATACTTAACTGACTGAATCACCCAGATGCCCCAGAAGATTTTAGTATTGTGATTATTTGTAAACTATAAGTGCTTACCATTTGTACCTCTTTTTAAACCAAAATAAGTTAACATTTATTATGATAATACATTTGAAAATGATTTTTAAATGCTATAGCACTTTAAAGGAATAGAAATAGAAACAAATCCTATTTTCATCAGGAATAAATTTGCTTTGGTTTCCCATCAGCTGAACACCTTCCTGGATGTAGACTCAATGATGAATATTCTATTAGAATTTTACTTTCTTATGTATGCTTCTCTAATTAGAAAGGAATTTGAAAAAAAATCAAAGACTATTTTGCTTTGGTATTCTTAAAACAGATTATTCACTACAGCCTGTACTTAGACTTATTATGTTTCTATTATTCAAATTCCTTCTCTCTACCCGTATTGTTTAGACCTGTAAAAAACCCAATACCAAGTCCCGCCTGTGTACAAATTAATGCTATGACCTTTGCTATTTTAACTTGTATTTCTAGAAACAGCACTTAAATGTGAGCTAAAAATCACTTCCATTCAATAAGTAAATAATGTTTGTGTATTGCAGATCACAGTCATTTATCAGAAATAAGGCAGCTTTACTTTTTACAGGAAATGGAAAGTAAAACCTCAACAAATGGATGCAACCCTTCAGAATGACTCTCAAATGGGCAGTGCTGAAAATTGATCTCGTTCCTTGTCAATTGCATTATTCAGACATGACATCAGCAACAAAGCTGTAGCCAGTGCTAGCTTATTGCCCACCCCCATGACAAGCTTTCATAACTAAAAAACCTGCTCTGTAGAGATACAAGCATCTCTTGGACTATAATTTGAGATTTGGAACCTAATTAAACAACTTTTCACCATCCTCATTAATAAGCACTGAATCAGACTCTGTATAAATAACAGATCATTTTATAGCATATCATCACCATTGTGTCATTCTAGAGGAAAAGCAGACTGTTGACCGAGACTGTTTCTGTATTTCTTTTCTGATTTTGTTTATGATCCATTTTTATATACTAGCTTGTTAGATTAGGACTATCATCCTAAATCGAAATCTTTTGGCAATGACATACTCTCTGATGTTCTTCAAACAATTCTGTTCTGTCAGTGCAAAGACATCATGCTTCTTTACCTGGAGGATTATGTTCATTGAGAATCACAAGGGATGCTGGTGTAGGTCTTCTTTTTCTGATCTGTGAACAACAAAGGCCCCACTAAGGTCAGTGAGAGTCAGACACTGCCCCAGTTTACAGCTTGCAGAACCGGTCCATCCTCAACTTTTCCCAACATGAAAAAGCAGATTTCTGGAGAGCACACAGTAGGTGCTCACTGTCTTGAATTACAGAAATCCAGAGAGTAAAACTTTCAGATATTAGTATCACCTTTGTTGACCAAAAAAGCTACCTTTCCACAAAAAAGGAAGTTGTGTATAATCAAATGGTGCCACTGAACTAATGTGCAGCATAGGTACAAGGATGACTTGCTCGTTTTAATGGTTCTCTTGGAACCCCATAATGATGATGCCTTTAAGATCCATTATCGTTATTTCTAAACAGGTTAAGAGAAGCTCAGAAAACTTAAAATTTCTAGCAGGTTAAATTTAACAGCATGAGTTCTTCATTTCAATTAATATAAGGTTTTCTTATTTTCTAGTAACATCTTTAGGACAAATAAAGAATGAGTATGGATTTTAGGAGAGTAATTCATTTAAAACTAATAGGTTTGATGTGGGGTTTGTTTTTCTTACTTTAAGAGTTACAGGAGCATATTAATGGTTAGACTTTCTAAAGTATTCTTTATTTCTTAAATATAGAGGTAAATTCTTAAAATACATGTCAGTAGGATAGAGGATAAAGATTTGCCAATGACATTTTGCCCAGGACAGAACTGATATCCCATTCAACATAAATACATGAAGTTCAAGGTTATGTTTATCTGGCCTTGTCTGAGAGAATCTATTTCCGATTATCAAAACATCCTAGAAAGTTATGAGTCTCAGATTCAGTAATTATTTTTAAGACTTTGTATAAAATATTTGAAAAAGGATTCAATGATAATTTAGGTTGTAAGAAATTAATGAATTAGATTGACGACCCTATAATTTTTTTCTGCTTTTGCCTCCCTGCTGTTGTAATTTTACCGCAAATGGTCTTTTAAGTGGTTCCATTGCATCAGGAGTCTAAGTAAATCTGAATATGAAAGGTGATACAGATGTAAAACAATTTTACATGAAAGAGAGAGAGAGACAGAAATACAGAAATATAGATAAATTAGACATAGAAAAGGAATCCAGGAAATGTTTAATACTATTTTAATATCTGCATAAAATGTCTTTTAAATTATACATACCATCTACAAAGTCTATCTATCATATATTACACATACTTATAATCACTCCTTTGAATATATGATGAAAAATATTAAAAAATATTAACCCTATAATCTGAAATTATTCCAAGGTTTAATGTTTTCATTGTTAAATGAATCTTTTTCATTTCATAAATAATGAAAAACAAACAGGTTTTTGGATCCAAATCTAAATCACTAATATCATTTTTTTTCTCTAATGGGTGCTAATTTTTTATCACATGAAGTGCTACATTTTAGCCAATAGGTCCCTCAATGCAACTCAAATACAAGTGCCATATGGAAACCAACTTATTTCTCATTCATATATCCTGGAAAGTCACAAAGTCAAACAAATTCAAGAGGTAGAGAAGCTTTCAGTTAATAAGAATGTATATCCATATTACCTTATATACAGGAATTGCTCCCCACCCAATTCCACCTACCTGCTCTGCCGCTTCAGGTGCAATCTGACTCTGGAATAAAGGCACAGCAAATTGTATCTTTTTGGGACTGTTGGGCTCCATGATAATGATGAGAATTAGTCAGAGACTGGAAGGGCTCAGAAGCACTAGCCCCAGGTGGTGTCCAGGATGTGTTTCCTCAGGCACACTGCACCCAGCCACACAGGGCACTTTGTAATAAATAGCTGTAATTCCAGAGGAGCAAGTGAAGGTGCCGAGGTCTGAGTAAATCCCTTCTTCAACTCCACAGTGATGCCTGGCTTGCCTGTTCCTCCACCAATCTCTTGGAACCTCTCAGCACAATACAGAAAGGAACAATAAGCTAATTGTGTGCTTCTTCACTAATACACATGCCAAGCATTCACTCAGCAGCTAATTGAAAATGCAATGCTAGCCTTGAAGGACCCGCTGCCCTGGGATTTGAAAGAAAGGCTCTATCCACTGTACATTACTAACCGGCTGCTCAAAAGTGCAATGTAAGCTCCCTCTGAGTATTGCAGGGATGGGCCATTCATTATTGATGAACATAAAGCAGGAAGTTTTTAGAGTTGGGGGCAGGGTTTGGGTATGAAATCATTTCATTTCTCTTGTAGCAACTTTTAAGTCAGACACCTTTGGCATTTCACGTTCAGCCACCAAATTGATGAATGGCCACAGAAGATAAGTTGCAACCAATAATATCAGATATATTTATGCTGTGAGATCTGTTTAGGTAAGACTGACCACGGGAAGCAGAGCATTTGTGGTATAGTAAGGACACTGCTGCCGTGAACTGAGCAGATTTTAGTTCAAGTCCCATCTCTACCATTAACAAGCTCTGTGTCCTCAAGCAAATTGCAGACTGTGTCTAGGCCCCAGTACCTTCATCAGAAAAAGGATGGAATTGGACTTGGTGACCTTTAAGCTCCTGTTCTGTTCCAGCATTCTGTAATTGTAGTTCACAGTTTTCATTAGAGTGGAAAGTATTGGACAGCTAAATTTAGCAAACAGCTTGAAAGTCACTGCTGCTGTAATGACCTCTATTTCATTTCCTGGTGGAGCCAGTTATATCCTCTGATTTGGAAGAATACAGAAGTGACTAGAAAACATCAGTAAAGCCTAATGATATCCAACATTGTGGTTTATTGTCAGTAGTGGGGATATGTGGACAGTAAAGAACTTGAAAAAAAAAAGCATAAAAAGGGGGTTATCTCCAGAATGATAGAGGATGATGGCCATACTGGCTAGTGGTGAAGGAGGGAGATAGTGGCTGGATCTCCACACTGTTAATATCCAAGGTGAGGCAACAGCAGACTAAAATGGCCTTCCTGCATTCAGCTCCTTTTGGGAAGGAAGCCTGAAAATGAAGCTGTTTAATGAGAGAAAGAACTTGAGTGCTCTACTTTCTTATTTGAAAGACTTTATTTGAAGAATACTAGATTTTTGATACATTTTTGGATTTATAGAATGTATTTAGATAATATTGTTCCAGGTTTTTACAAATGAGGTTTTCTTTCTTTTGTTTAAATTCTGAGTCCAGGGACGCCTGGGTGGCTCAGTGGGTTAAGCCACTGCCTTCGGCTCAGGTCATGATCCTGGGGTCCTGGGATCAAGTCCCGCATCGGGCTCCTTGCTCGGCAGGGAGCCTGCTTCCTCCTCTCTCTCTGCCTGCCTCTCTGCCTGCTTGTGTGTACTCTCTCTCTCTGACAAATAAATAAAATCTTTAAAAAAAAAAAAAAAAAAAACTTCTGAGTCCATACCAGGAATCCATCTTAGTGATTTAAGTATACAATGTTCTGTTGAAAGAATATGGAAAGTAATATGCATTATTCAAGTAGTTTTCTATACCCACTAAGGGAAAAGCAAATGAAGATGTGGATGTGAAAGCACTTTCAGTTGGAGAACAGTGCTGACCAGCAAGACATCTTGTGATGTGCTCATCCTTATAGTGTTGAAAGGAAACTTACAAATTACATTTTGTGTAACATTTTATAAAAGTCCCAGCATGAAACCTGAATCAGTATCATTAATGTAGTAACTTTTCTGAATATTTCCTCAAATTACACAAAAGGAAAACAAGACAGTATTTCTAGTGAGTAATCAATCCAAAAGTTTGCTTAGTAATTTAGAGCATGTACTTGGCAGCCTTGAGTTCAAACCTCAGCTCTGCTACTAACTCAGTTTATCAACTTGGCAGTAAAAGAACTTTCTTCCTGGGAGGTTTAGATGAATTAATTCTTTATAAGAGTTCATTATAAGGGCAGTACATGATAACTACTCAGTAAAAGATAACTATTATTTTTCTTTAAACTAGACTTTTCAAAAGGCTTGAAGATATATATTTTATCTGAATTACTAGGAAACCCTGCCTGTTTGGAATAATTTGATACCAGTTAGAACACTGGTTGATAAAGTGCAATTCCAGTGCACATTATGGTATAAATAGCAATAAAATCATTCTCATTTAGTAATTGCCCTATTTTGAATAGTTTGACCAGAAATTGTATCATAAAAGAACTTTCTAGACCCTTTAAATTTCTTCTTCACCAACTCCTGTGCATCATTCAGACTCAGCTGAGTTTTGTAGCCTCTAAGTAGATTTTATGGATTTACTTCTATCCACAGAGGGTTGAGACTCACCTTTTCTGTGTTCCCAAAGCACCCAGCATACTTCTACTTGGTATAATAATTACCAGTTTGTCTTTTCTGTTTAGCATTTTGCAATGTCACCCATTCACATGGTGCATATTTATTGAATAGATAGTGCATCTATTCTATGCCAGACCTTTTGCTATGGCACTGGAAGAGAAATTGTGTTAGAAGATGTTTGAGGTCTTTTCCAAGCTAAATTGTTATTCCAAGAATCACTTAAATGCAACTTAAATTTGAAATAATCAGAAATTTTAATGTGCTTACATGAGCAATATGGTTATACTAAATATCATGTGTACATTTTTTCCTCCCCATTAGAGAAAATAATAATAGCTAACACTTACATAACATTTACCCTGTGCCTGGTGCTGTTTTAAGTGCTTTATCTGCATTAATTTATTTAATATTCATAATAACCCTTTGAAGTAAATACTAATGCTATCCTCATTTTTAATTTACAATGAAGAAAACCAAAGAATTTAGGTAATTTGCCCAAGGTTATCCAGCTAATATGTGGCAGAAACAGGATTCAAATGCTAGTGATTTTGCCTAGAGCCTAGCCTTTAATCAGATGGCTACTATCACATAAGGGCCTACAGAGAAGTTGGTGGAAGGTATCAGAACCTACAATGGTTAGATGTTCTAACCATTCGAGTTCCATGGTAAAAGATCTTAAGATGAAGTAGCATATGAATAAAAGGAAAGAAGGTAGCAGAATACTAGTTAACCAGGAAGACCTTACAGCAAGTTAGATATCAGAATAAAATGGAGACTCTAGAGCTAGGTCTTAAGTCACCAAGCTGACATGAAAGAAGGCAGTTTTATTTCTCTCTCTCTCTCTCTCTCTTTTTTTTTTTTTTTTAAGTAATGGGTTCTATCATTAAAGATTAAAAATATCTCTGGAATAAGCAATAAATATAGTCTCTCTTCAAGTTAAGTGATACTGTGAATAAACAAGGTAATACATTAGGAGAACAGCTCATTAGGCCTTCCTGATTTTACTTTATATCTGACCCTATTTTCCACAGTTCTTCAAGACTCCCCTACAGACTACACTTTACCCCACAGCCAGCCTTTCTATGGCCTCTCCTACTTTCTGGGGAAACTTTCCTGCCCTCCCTCCTTTTATCCAAATTGGATTCATTCTCTAATCCCACTTCTTAGTAAGTCACCCTCAGATTCTCCAGATAAGATGCATTGCTCTTTTTGTTCCTTTCCTGGTATTTAATCATATGTAGTTTTGTATTATTCTATAACATAACACATAACTTATGTGTTCCTTTATTCCCTCTTCCTAGACTGGAATTCCTTTTCTATCCTATCATAAACATGTACAGAACATACCTAAGGTTGGCCATCTAGTTTTACCAAATAATTCCAGTTAGGCATCAACTATCTGATATTGTCAGGAAACAAGGTTTTTCAGTATACTGAATATCAAGAGATAGTATTTTGTTTAACATTTGGTTGGCTAGTTGAATATCACTGAAATAAAAGCAAATATTTATTAAACATTTTTTTAAATATGTAGGATTATATTAAATGCTGAAAATACCGTAATGAACAAAAGCAGATAACATGATAGTGTTTAGATACAGATCTGTTGAAAACATTTCTAACCCTAATACAATGGTTTTGAACCAACACTCTGATGATGGCAGATATATTTGACATGCATTCCCTTCCATGACTCCTCCTTCATTTCTAACTATAACTTCATTTCTTTCATTAAAGAAAACCTATCATAATGCAAACAAGAATGACATTATTATTGGGATTATGTAGAATAATCTCAGTTATCTTTAATGGAAATAGTTGGAGAATTCTGAAACTTGCAATATTAATATTAACAAATTACTAGTAAAGCACCCATACCTAATTGAGACAAATAGGTGTATCTGTAAAATGTGGTCAAAAACCACTAATCTAAATGAAGTGGACCACTATCTCCCAGTACCTATTGAAATTAAATTTCTCCCAGGAAATCATTAATCAAATGAATTCCTCTAGAACAGCTTCTAAGTTCATCCATTTTACTTTATTTTATTTTTTATTTTATTTTTTTTAAAGATTTTATTTATTGAGAGGGAGAGAGCAAGCAGGAGGAGGGGCAGAGGGGGAGGGAGAGAGAGAAATCTTAAGAAGGCTCTACACCGAGCACAGAGCCCAATCTGGGGCTCAATCTCATCATCCTGAGATCATGACCTGAGCTGAAATTAAGAGCTGGATGCTCAACTGACTGAGCCACCCAGTCACCCCAATGCCATTTTAAATCTTACATTTTTTTTTTCAAATTCTATACTTATAGGAAGACTTCTTAGTCTAAGCTCACTATTTTATAATCTTACAATAAAATCTGAACCCCCACAGTACTTAAGTATAAACATTTACTTGAAATCACTCTTAATGCTTAAAGGCTGACATCATTGATTCATTCATTAATTTATTTAGTGCTTGCCATGTTCCTTAAAATTGTTCCTTAATTGCTTTATGATGGCATGTTTTTGTCTTCACTTTAACAATTTTGATTTATTCTAAGATTCCCATATCAATTAATGCAGTGTTTATAATATGTGTTGAAGAATTACTACTATGTTATACAAATGCTCAAGTTTTTTTTTCCTCTTAAGTATGGACATGTCATTTTGTTTAATGTATAATATTTTCCTGGGTCATCTCTCAATCATTTCATCTTTATTTTTGTTGAGACAG